ATTGATGGGTGAAAAACAGATATAAAGTACAGTAGAAGTCACAAAGACGAAATGAGCAGGCAAAAATTGTATATTCATCGGCTCTACTGGCCGGAAAGTACAAAAACTACTGATTCAAAGGAAAGGAAATACAGATAATGTCTAATCTACTGATCGGGGTGATCTTCATCGTCTTCATCATCGTCTTCATCAGCCTCATCAACAATTTGCACCACCTCCATCCCCAGGGCTCGCCGGCACTTTTTCATCTGTGCCATTAGGGCGTTCAGGTGACCCGGATGGAGGTCAGAAGGGAAGTCGGAAGATTGCACTGCTCGGCCCATGTGTTTTTCCAGGAGGGGAAGGAGGGGCTGGAGCATATGTTGGCAGCCTGAGCTGTAGACCCCTCGGGCGAGATTGTCAGCCCACTCCTTGGTGATAGGGTGCTGATCAAGCACCCTGATCCCCTCCTTCTGGCGCTCCTCTCCGGCCAGTTTCTCCAGATGCCTTCCGAAGACAGCAGGGAGCTGTTCGGTGGCATATTCTTCCTTGAGAGCCAGAAACTCCTCGGAAGCTTTGAATGAATCTCGAACGGCAGAAAGATCAACTATCATTTCAGCAGGGCCATCCGGGATTTGGGGAGAGGCTTCAGAAAACTTGACCTGAGCGGCCTCAGCTGCCGCGATCTTGGCTTGGAGAGAACCCACCTTGACGCGAAGCTCCCCAGCCTCAGCTTCCAGCTTCCTCCGCTCCTCGGCAAAAGCCCGCCGTTCGGCCTCGGCTGCCTGCTCGGCCGTTTCCTTGGCCATCAGCAAGCCTTGCTCCTTGGCCTGCCTGGTCTCCTTGAGCTTCAGGCTGTATATCCCTGCCTAATGATCGAAAAGGAAAGTATGAGTACATGATAAGCTGACAAAACGAAGAAAAAGGTAAAAGTAAATTATGAACAAAAAACTACCTTCAGGACAGTCAGGGCAATGCACTCCTCAACCTCCTCCACCGGTATTGGGGGAAGGTTGTGTCCATTGAGGAAACTAGAGTTGGACCAGATCTGGCTCGCTGGACAACCACCCCTCTCCAGCATTTCATGAGCAGGATCATAGAGGGAGATCCGCTCGAACTGACTAGCCAGGTCAGCCTGATGGGCGGCCACCTCCTCAGCAGAGAAATGGTGGGACTGCTGATCAGAGAAAAGCTGATCCATCAGCGTGTCAGCATGGGTGTGCTGCTCAGGGGCAACCTGCTGCACAGGTTCTACATCCCGAACAGGTTCAGACTGCTCGGGGACGATGGGGGCAGATTGAGAGGATGTCCCCTGATCGGCCTTCCTCAACCTCTTCCTCTTTGTCTTCCTCAGCTGCTTGGGAGGAGAGGTTGGTGGCTCATCGTCAAAACCAACGGTAAAGAGCCTGCTGTCATCCATTGCCGGCTGTTCGGGGTTGTCTCCTTCGGAATCTGAAGATTCGCCTTGCTTTGGAGCTGAAAAGACACAAGGAACAAATTAGTACCGAGCGGTTCACACGTGGATTGAAAAATTATATCACACGGGAAGGACCGCCCGGGCCATGGTACTTGGTTTTCAGTCAAGTAAGTCCAGGAATACGGGCAGTACCTATCCCGGCCTTAATTAGCCGATCGGGAGTTAGGTAAGACATAATTTTGAAGCAGCCTCCCGCCTCCACAGCAATGACATCTCTGCTAAGCTCTTCGGAGATGAATGGCTCGGGGGATTTAGGAGGGAATGCGTTCCACTTCCTAGGAATCAAACCGTTCGGGACAGAGACGAAGAAGAACCTATCTTTCCAACCTTTGATGGAAGAAGGGGCATCGCAGAACAAAATATGTCCTGGTCGGGAGCTTACCACCAGAAAACCGTGGGACTGCTGGGGGATAACCGAAAAGAAGTAGTGGAAAAGATCTAGAGTGGGTATGACCTTGACATTGTGACAACGACAAATGAAACCAGCTATCGACCGGTAGGAGTTCGGCATTATCTGAGCTGGTACTACATTGTAAAAATTTAAGAAAGAGACAAAAAATGGGTGGAGTGGAAACCTAAGACCGGCCTTAATTGAATCAAAGTGGACCACTACCATCCCAGGGAAATGACGCATTGGGTGAAGCCCGGCCTGGAGTCGGAAATCCACCGAGTCCGGGATCATCATCTGGATTTGGGCCCTATTTTGGGCCGTAAGCTTTTGACGCATCAGCCTAATTAGGGCTAGGTCAAGCTTATGGCAAGAAACGCCGCTAGGGGGACCGGCTTCCATGGCCTCCATTTCGCCCCCGGATTTGGTACCATCAGGATAAGTTCCGGATGAAGAGGCATCGTCGTGGGGGACCTCCGCCGGGATAGGAGTGACCTCCAGTGCCAGGCTGGGAGTATTCTCAGGGAGATCAACGTTCGAGGTAGAACACTCGGAAGGATGAAGACGGGTTGCCATACCGATCGAACAAGGAGGATAGAAGAAAAACAAAGGCCAGAAAGTACCTGAGCGAGAACTAAGGAATAGCTCTAGAGAGAAGGATGAATGATAAGCCGGAGATGCAAAGTTTCGAAACCCAGAATCAAAACCAGAAGAGCCTATTTATACTCTGTCACGCCGATTCAGCTGCCAATCAGAAGAGGACACGTTTTTTGTAATGATGACAGAGACACGTGTCGCACAGAGAATCCTTCTCAAGTAATCATGACGTTTATCGGAGAAGTGAAACGGCAGTTGCAAATAACCGTCAAAATATGCCTCGGGAACCGGTGGAATGCCATCCGATACTCACCCGAACAGCATTCGGGCAATAAACTTATACTTCCTTATGCACTCACTACCGTTCGAGACATAGGAAGTGGGGGACTAGTGTTGGGATATTAGGTCCAGGCCCAATATCCCTAGGCCCAAATCCAAGAAGAAGCAGCAGGCCCAAGGCAGTCCAAAAGACCTCTCGAACGGCATTCGGGATAAAACTTATACTTGGAACATTCCGGGAAACAATTATGCCAAAGCATCAAGGCCAGGTATCGATCGGCGTTCGGGATACTTCCATTAACTAGATCACCTATGGCGGAGATACCGATCGGCGTTCGGGATATGTTCATAAGCAAGATAGCACCTATGGCGGGGTCCCACACACCGAACACCCTGCCCGAGCGGGCTATCAGCAAGTGGAAGCCGCATTTAATGCTGGATCATGACGGCAGCAAGTGGGGGCATGGGTGCTTACATGGCAGAGGTGATAGCCTACCAGATTCGACCACGTGTCCACCTTACCCATCCCCATTTTAGTATAAATACCCATGTTTGGATCATTGTAAAGGGTTAGCATTTTAATACTCAGAGCTTAGCAATAGATTTACATCTCCCATCCTTGTAATCTCATATTCATCTACCGTTCGGGTAGTTTCAGTGTAAATGCTTAATTACAGAATATAAGTAAGTTCTTGAGTTGGATATTATTTCACTATTTTATATTTTACACACATTTCAACCCTACCCAATATCCCTACAATATCCAAGGCTTGTGTTGGGCTTTCGGATCTTCGGGAATAAACCTCAACAAAGGTTATTCCTCAACATTACATACTAGAGCGATGGACAAAGGAAGCAAGGTTGGGAAGCAATCATGATTTTAATGGAAAATGTATTGAGTTGGATGTTAAAGCTCACTTTATGAAGAGATACAATGAGTTATGTCCTCGAATGGTAAAATTAACTAATAGGGCATCCAAATCTCATGAACCTTACACCTTTGTGTCTAAAGTGTGTGAAGAGTCTACCAGAATTATTGAAGACATGTTGGCAAAAACTTTGCACGAAGAATCAAGTGGTTCGTGTCATGTTGCTATATTGATGGGATCAGGAAATATTGAGACCAATGTCAATGTTATTGATCTTGATGGTCCTAAATGCATAAAGAAAAGAGATTGTTCTAATAAGACAAAGAAGCGACCTAAATCTTGGGTGGAAAAATTAGCAAGAAAAAGAAAGGCAAATGAAGTGCAAAAAGAAAAAATAAAAAAAAAATCATCAGCTTTGGTAAAGTATTATTTTTTATTAGAGTATAATTTGATAAACATTTTTATAGATATTTTTTCTTAAACTTTGAAATTTCTTGTTTTTGTAGGAACCATTTGCACCCACAACCGGAGGCATCCAACAACGGGCTTCATATTCAGTTTTACCTGATTCACACCATCCGCATATATTCTCATGACTAATTCACTTAGTGATTTCATTTCAGCCGGAGAGCACGAGTTGGAAGTCAAGTCATTAATCCTAACCAAGATCGAATTATAAAAAACATGTGTCAACCAAAACTGACACATGTTTAATACTCTCTCTACATTAATCCTAACCAAGATCCAAATAGATCTATATTTTTTTAAACGAAGAGATATTTTCTGATAGAAAAGTTTGGTAGACATCTTTTTGTGTACACTTTTGGCACATTTTGTCTGTCCACACGGATAGATAGCTCCATGTGTAGACAAACAAAATGTCTTCAAACTAAAAAAAAAATGTAAACACAAAGTGTAAGCTAAACATTTCTCTTCTAAGTTTTGTTCTCTTCTATCTCCCGTTCAATTGTCTCGCCTATAGTTCCAAAGTAGTAGTAGGGGTGTTCGTCGGTTCGGTTTTGGCAGTTTCGGTTTTATCGGTTCGGTTTTAGTCGGTTTCGGTTTTTAGTCGGTCGGTTTTGATCGGTTTCGGTTTTAGTCGGGCGGTTTTAGCGGCTTTAAAAATAGATGAAACCGAAAATCGGACCACAAAAATTGAGACAATTTTGGTCAATTTTAGCTATTTTTGCCGATTTATTTTCATTTGACCGGTTTTTTAAGCCAAAAGTACAAACCGTAAACCGAATAACCGATGAATTAGTCAATTTCGGTCGGTTTCGGTTTTATCGGTTCGGTTTTGGTCGGTTTCGGTTTTGGTCGGTTTCGGTTTTGGTCGGTCGGTTTCGGTCGGTTTGGCGGTCGGTTTCGGTTTTTCGGTTTTTTTGTTCACCCCGAATCCAAACTACCCAGTACGATAGTATTGTGTATTTGTGCTTGTCAAGTGTAACATTACTCCGTGTCTCCGTATCGTTTAGGATTTAGGCATCCCAAACGGTAAAACGCGGTTGACACTGCAATGGAGCCTCCGACGTTCGGCGGCGGAAGCAGCGGCGGGAAAGGGAACAATAGGAAGTTGAGAAAGATGAAGAGCCCAAAGGAGATGGTTTCTCATTACGAGGCCCAGGGTCTGGGAACCGAAGAAGCTTCGCTGAAAGTCATAGACGAACTCCAGAAGGCACTGTTTGGGATGGCCGTAACTTCTCGAGACCCAGGCGGCGGCGGCACTACTTCCAGAAAGCTGGACTCGATCAACTCGAGGTTGCTTAGGCTGGATATGAAATTGGACTCGAAACCTAGCTTTCCGCAGAGCCTCGCCATCGGGGTGGCCTCTGGCGCAATTGTTCAGCTCTTCCCCCAATTCGCCGGAGCTGTTGCTGGTATCTGGAATTCCGTTCGCTCTGTTTCTAAATCTAACCCATGAGAGGAAGTCTTTTGTTCTTGTCTGAATTATTGAATGAGCAATTGTTTGTTTTGATTGTCTTCTGAATCTCATGCAGAAAGCTTCATCACAGATATTATGCTTCTATTTCTAGGACAAAAGGCACTGGTTTACTCATTCTACACTTCAATTTTTGGAAAAGCGATGATCATTATGTGTGCAAAACATGAATTGGAATCCCATGTTGAAGAAGATTGTTCTTTGACTGGTTAACTCCAGAACTTCATTACTGTTTTGATTCCTGATGATGGCTGGCCTAAACTGATAATGTTGTGTGCAAATCCACAGGCATATACATATATTTTATATCTTTATTACTACCTGTATCCTAACTGAGCCACACATCCCGGCCCTGATAGTACATGATCATGTCTGTTAATTGTACCCCCTATCATAATCCAATAATAGGGTACCCTATAATGAACAGGTAAGGACCTGCTTATAATAGGGTACCCCTAATTGAATCCCCCATACTGATAGCCCACTGAAAGGGGGACATTGAAAAAGTGAAAACCTATCTTCAGGAAAATAATCACTTAACAGACTTTCACTTTTGCACTAGATGGATCAAGATTCTTGCTAAAGGAGGCTAGGGTTCCTCCCTGTTCCAAAGCTTTCTTCGGCATAAACTGAGCACAATCCAACACCCATGGTTGCAAATAATCAGTGCGCTAGGGCCCATTCAATAAAGATTGTATGATCAGTAAAATTAAGAAAGTATGCACTCAGAATCAGTTTTATTACGGAGTATTTTATTAACATGTTTTCGAAATTCATGTCAAAAAGGGAACATTATGCACTGAAAAGAGGTACTCGTATTCATCAAATTAGACGTATTGGATAGTCGCTGCAAAAACATAAAACCAATACTCAGAAAAATTAATCAACTGAGTGCATGCACAATGTTAAAGTCACACACCGGAAAAGTTTGAAACTTTGAACAATAAAGTGTTATATTAAGACATGAGTTACTCCTCCTATTAGATTGACCTTTTAGGATGGAACTTCAAGTCTTAACACACAACTTCAGTACAACATCCAAACAAAAGCAAAATAATGTTACTCAACAATCATTTTGATTAAACTTCAAAACTAAGAGTGCATTTTAAGCATACAAAACCTTCTTATGACAAGCTCAAGGCAGAAGGATGTTATGGCATTTGCTTTCTCACAAATGAATTCCAGAGATGCATTATTTGCTTCTCGTCTTTGGTAATATCAACAAACTCATCAAGCATCTATATTATCATTGGTACACCGAATGTTAAATATTGAAATTTGGCAGAAATATTTCGACTTAAGAGTTGAATCATCTGGAGGATCATATTCACTCGATTTGGCATAATTCCGAACCTAATGTGTTTTTCATGTACTCTCTAGCCTCTAAACACAAAATATCACAAAACCCCAGACTATATCTGAACAAGAATTATACATAAAAAATAAACCCCAATGAAGACTAAAACATGGAGATTCAAAAAGTATTGATCAAGTAAACAAACAGAACAAATGTTATTCATATTTGTGGTTCAACATATGTGGTAATCAAAAGTGACTCATTATTCTTTCACTGACATGACCCATTTCTTCATAAATACAGAAAGAACAGCAAGCTCGGGTTAATAGAGATGGATTAAACATAATGAACTCTCGCTCCTCAAAAGCCCACACGAATGAAGTTAATTCTCCCACATCCATAGCAAGTTAAAGCAAGTGAATAACACTCTTATATATTGAGCTCGCAATGGTATGCTCACTCTTGCCCAACAAGCTTCACTTGTTCAGTAAGAGAAAGGAAAAGTAGCTCTTGATACAAGATCATGATCTTGTGCCTTGATGGTCGCGTAAGCACAAGACAAGCGGCCTGATTATCTCAAATGAGGTTTGGTAAGACCACGCACGCGGGTGTACAGTGCCTTCCGTCTAAAATTTGGTGGATATAATCTATAAGACCTTCCGTCCCGATGGTCATGTAAGCACAAGAAAAGCGGCATGATTACCTCAAAAGCTAAAACTTCCTATTATTCAACCCTATTCCATTTGGAATAAGGCCTTCCGTCTTCTTGCACACGTGGAATTCCTCCAATTGGGTATACCAAGTAGGTAGATTCTATGGTACCCTTAAGGTACCATACATTGTGTTCACATAGACCAATCTGAATGATGCAGTTGAATTATTTAAATCTAATTAAAAAATATATATAATGATTTAGACCAATCAAGTGAGTGAATGATAGGTATGATATCCCATTTTTTAAATGGGTATAGGAGTTGTCACCATAAAAGTATAGCTTTCATCGGCATACATATGTAAATAAATCAAGTAATACTGTCGTATTTCTTACATAAAACTTCACCAAAAAAAATAAACATTGTCGAAGAGACATACGGAGTATCACAATATAATACTATAATAGTACATGAAGAAGAAGAAGAGAGAAGATGAAGAAGAAGAACACTGGCCACTGAGGAAAAAATCGAAACAAAAAAATCACAAACTCGCAAATGAGCTCAACGACCGGATATACGTCCGTCCCAAAGAAATCTTTCACTTATTTTTAGGAATGTCCCAATACATTCTTCCTATTTCCCTTAATGGAATAACTTGGGTAACCAACATTATAATTGTTACATTTTTCTTACGCAATATATCACAATCATACATTTGCACTTTATTCCTGTTTTCTTAATAAGCATGCTAAATCAAATTTGGAAGAATTTTTTGTTGGAAATACTTTTACATATAGCAAAAGCAATACAAGAACAAATCAAATGAATTGTTCTAATAATTCTAGGACCTTCATCATGTTGAATAATAGAGTATAATAAGATTACTACCTGGATCCATAGCGAAATCGCAGGAGGAATGGAACGAGGTAGATGGCATCTGGATCTTCCTCAATTGAACCGTCTCGAGGCCTTAGTCGCTCTTCCGATGGGGAGAAGAGAAGTGAATGGCGGTGGTTCAATGTATTGGGGCCCATAGCCTATTTCATGTTGAATTATTTGGAGTTTTTTCATATATTGTTTTTGGCTCGAAATTCATGTAAATAATCCATACTTCTTAACATTCTACAAAAATAATCCGTACTTAACAAATTGATAGAAATAATCCAAACCCTTAAACCAGTTCACAAAGATGGAATAAATGAAACGGAAGTATCCGTTCCGTTATAATTTTATACCCCTCGTTACTAGCCTCTATTCACGACACACACCATATCTTCTTCTTCCATATCTATCGGTCTTCTCTAATCAATACATCATTTTCTTCCCTAGATTTTAGCTCTTCAACTCCCAATCATTCATCAAATTCCTGGAACTATCTGCTATTAAATTTCTGCCCCTGTTTGCTAGTTTCTCTTGTAAACTCTAGATCCAAACAAATCACTTTTCTGGAAAATCATGAACGATCCAAACAATTTGCCCCTGTTTTCTAATATATTCTAAGGATGTGAGTTCAACATCCAGCCCATCATCATCAAAGTACGTACTGAAATAGCTGTGAAGTCATTGCAACAACTTTATTAATGATTAACCAATATGTTTAAATATAACTATAACTAATTTTACAGCTTTTTAGAAATATATTTATGCAAATACGAACATCACATAGTGATAACAAATAGAAAATCAAATCACTTTAACCCTAATACTAACCGGATTATTGAAACAACCTTAAAGAACTCTTTCCTCTAAGCTATTTATATTTCAGAGACCCACGTCCTTCTCTGCCTATTTCATCTCCAATTTGTGTGTCTGGTTGTTACAGGATAACCAATGAGTTGCTGATTGAGAGATTAAGATGTAGAGAAGAAGAGTATATATGCCTCTTGTGCCGGAACGGAAGATGAGTTCCAGGTTGTTCAAAGATGTAAAAGAAGAAGAGTATGGCCGGTGAGGGGAGATGAAGAGTTCTCGTTGAGCCGGAAGTGAAGACTAAGAATAATTAGGGATGGAGATGTATCGTTAGGAAACAAGTAAGTTGGGTTGAGACAGTAACGGAATAGTAAACTCCGTTTCATTTAATCCAGCTTTGTGAACTAGTTTAAGGGTTTGGATTATTTCTATCAATTTATTGAGTACGGTTTATTTTTGTAGAATGTGAAGAAGTATGGATTATTTATATGAATTTCGCCATTGTTTTTTGTTTATGTCATATGATCTGCCGATTTGAATGAAATTAGGGTCATGCGAAATTACTTTTACGTAATTCGTTCCTATGTATTCATAAGCTTGGCAGTTGATGACTTATCGGTACAATTCAGTTTAATCGACATTTTTTAGCATGTTGAGATGGAATCCGTAGGGATGTTCCAGATTTTGATGATTTCTTTTCTGTATTTTTATTGTTCGGCCGGCAATTTGTGGATCAAGTAAATTGGAGAAATTTATTTCCATTTTTATGTTGCTCGAGTCTTGAATTGAAGTCCCGCATGCACGTTAATGTTTTTTTAAGTCATTCCTGTGATTGAATTACTGTGGCTGAGTTGATTTATAGTGAATCATGTTTTGAGTTCCTTTTTAATTTTTTATTTAAGGAATTAACTTGATTTGTAATCAGTTTTGGAGTTAGCCGAAGTTTCTTTGTATCAAATTTATTCTTGATACGTTTTTCGGTGATTCAAAAATTTTATATGGCTTTCATAATTAACTACATATTTGTGATTACCGGTTTCGTTTATTAAATACTTATATGTAATTACGGCCAACATATGTCTCATCAGAAATATAAATTTTTGTGACTATATTTTTTATTGGTCATTGTGATATTAACGGCTTAAAATTGTGTATTATGTGAGTTTAAAGCTATAAGGCTATGATTTTATTAGCCATATGCATGTTTACTCAACATGGTTGAAACTTTGTTTTCCAATTTTATCATGTATATACATATGCGATGTGTACAATTGAATTTTGTTGTTATTAAAATTAGTCATTTGTGTGTGTATGATTATACGTGATGTTCAATGGAGTATGTTATAGCATCATAATATCACAAGCATGTATGTGTATGTTAATTAATTATTACCTTAAATATTACTGCGCAATTATATATGTATGGTTAGCATATACTAGATGCATGTATATGTTGAATATTAAATACTCCGTATACCATATTAAAGTTTAAGGCATTAAGTGTTACATAAGGGATATACATATGTACACAAATGTTCATGTCCGGAATTCCGGACAGGAACCGCCGTCCAGACGGCGGCGTTTGGCCGCCTTCCCGGTGGCTTTTTTTGATGAAAATTTTATGGCATGTTCTCCATCAAGTCTAGTTTATCCACAAAACAATTCAGCCAAAAACTCAATTGGGAAGGTCGTCAAATGATTTTTGCAAGTTAACTGGTCCGGAATATGTATTTTCCGGAGTACCAAAAATAGTGCATACGTTTAAAGGTCATTTTATAAACTATCAGCTGGCTTAAAACAGTCATTTAACCAAACACTATTTTACAAACCGCTAATACTATCAGCTGACTAAAACAGCCAATTAAATCAGCTGTCGTCTATCAGCCAACAGAAACTGCTATCAGCCAACAGCCAGCAGCCA